TTTACATCTCCAAACAATAAGGACCAGCCAGGAAAGAGAAAATGAGTTGGAAGAATGACAGGAAGGGAATCCAGTGAGTTGTCAAGTTGAGACCACACACCTTCCAGGATGCCTGGAGCTGGGGGTGGGAGTATTACTACCAATCCCTCTTTGTTGGATTTATTTCTGTTTCTCCTTTCTCTGCTTCTATTCTCTCTCTCCTCCCCTCCCCTTCTCTTTGTCTTTCTGTGCATATGAATATAGATGTAGATAAGAATATAGGTATGGATATATAGAGATTTTTCCCCCTTGCTGTTGGGCCATCCTGTTTTTCCAGGACCCAGGCTGGTAAGACACAAAAATGCCCATTTGTTTCTTCCTGCTTATTCATTCTTGCAACAAAGGAACAGGAGGATGGAGAAAGCACTATCAAAGGCATTTCTGTTCAAAGGGAAAACTCCTCCGTGATCGCTATTACTGTTGGAAATTCCTTCTGCTCTTTGACAGTGTAATCATTTTTCTCTCCTTGATTTTTGCCTGTTTCCCTCAGGCATCTGAACCTGAGACAGTTTTCCCTTATTTAAGATGTGTCTGTTGCATAGAAAGCCACGGAGGAGGCTCAGCATGGCTGTAGGGCATGGACAGCTCATGGCCAGGCCACACACAGCTGGATCTCTGTGGCCCTGGGGAGATGTCGCTGCGGAGGCAGGGAGGCTTTTAGAAAGCACACGGACAAAGCATCCAAAGCCCCATCAGGGAACCAAGAGAGCAGTTATTCCCTCTCCACTTCTCTTTCAGTCCTCACAGAGCAGGACGGTGTCTGGTGCTACGGTATTTTAACACCTCTCTAACACTTCCTAATGTCCCTTTATAATAAAGTGAGAAGGCAGGCCTCTGGGCAGTTTGCAGCAGGCAACAGAACCTAGCAAGAATTTTATCAACTTTTTTTTGTGGAATTCATCCTTAAAGGTAGCTACTGTCCATAGCAAGGGATAGTGGCTTTCCATTTGCTGTGATAATTTTAAGTTTTGTTTTCCTTGAGCAAGTTGTAAGAGAAATGAGAACTGAGTAGAAGGAAAGAACATGTGAACAGTAGGTATTATGTGGATGTGGCACAAAATGTTGATAAAAGAGGAGGACTGAAGTTTGAGAAAATGACCTTGAGTCAGGGACAAATTTTCCCTCTTTTGTGTTCACTTCTGAAGTAGATTCTCCATTGAAGGCAGTTGGCTAGATGCGTTAGTTTGAGTCTCTATGCATACACAAAGACAAGCTCTCCAGAGGAACCAAGATGGCACCAGGGAACACTTTGGCTTTGACCCTTTATAGTTGTGAATGAGAAGAGCCCTCCACGCTCTTTCCCTGGGTAAAGCAGTCAGGACAGCAAAAAGATGAGGCCTTAGAGTTTGATCAGCTTGGACTTGCATCTCAGCCAAGAAGGTATCATGGATTGTGGATTCACACCATCTAGATTCAGACCCAAGAACTGGAGAATTATGAATAAGTGAGACATCCTTTGTTCTGGAATTCTCCTTTTATAAAATGAGATCATAATGGAACTTTACACAGAGAATAGTTGTGAATATTGGAACAAGTTAACACTACAGAGTACTTGGAAAAATTGCCTAGAACGTAACTTCATGGTAAATGCTCAAAAAATACTAGGTTTTATTATTGTTGTTATTATGACCATCACCTTGGGCAACATTCTTTCTGAGCCTCATTTTCCTACCTACCTTAAAATGTCATTGATGTATAGCTGATACAGGAAAATTCTAGCTCCTCACTACTCCTTTCTCCCTGAAAATGTGAGACTTGTATGAGGATGTGAACATACAAATCTATGAATATGTGCATATTTGAACTTGGCTTTGAGTGCAATCTCCACCACCATAGGGGTGTTGAGTGCCAAAAACCATATATGCCCATATATGAGATTATTGGTGGTGCTTGCATCCACAGGGCTTGGAGGCAGGTATAAGTATCAGGTGTTCAAAATGGTAACTATGCCTTGTGCTGGAGTCTTGGTTTTTTTGACCAGTGAAGTTCAGCAAGGCCACACTATTTTTAAGAGTCCTTTGAATACCCATATTGTAGTTATAGCAAGCATGAACTCCTGTGCTCCCAAGATGGGAACACTGAGGTCTTCAACAATTGAGAACAATTTTAAGTCCATGCTCCTTACCTTGGCTGAAGTGGGCACTACCTTAGTAAGTTGGTGTGATCTACAGCTGCCCCACTTTGCTGTTGTCCATCGACTATCCATCTAACCTAATCACTTAATTAACACAGACAAGAAGTCTTCATGGTGTTCAATAACTCTAAAGAACTACTGGAAATGTCTGGGTGGCCTGATTGGATTTAACTTGCAGCTCATTACCTCTAGACCATGATAAGTTAAATACAGGGCCCAGAAAACAAGCTGGATTTTGAATTGAGAACAAACTTTTGTTTAAAAATCAAGTAATCCGTCCCATTAGGCTAGTGGTCTTAAAAGTGTGGGCCGTGACCCACCAGTACACCATCACCTGGGAACTTGACATCACTAGTCTTATACTAGGGAATCAAGAATTCTGGAAGCCAGGCCTTGCAGTCAGTTTTAATGAGCCCTCCCCATGACACTAACGGAGGCTCATGTGTGAGAACCACCACTTACACTCTCTCTCAAAGTAATGGACTAGTTGTTGTGGGTCTAGCCTCTTGGAGAAGAAAAAAGAGTAATATAAAAAAATACAGTGAAGGCAGTAAAGAAAATCCTAAAGATGGGAGAATGAGACCTGTAGAGCCTAAATGGGAAATCCATTTACTGAAGTGTGACCTTGGATCAGCAACTTAGGGCTCTGTCATTTCTAACATATGGTTTCAGACCCTTTCTCAGGATCCAGGCATGGAATAGTAAGATACTCACTCCAAGTAAGGGTGGCTACATGGAATGCTCAGAGTGATCCAAATGCTGCTGCATTGTTAGCAAAAGGTCAGTGGGACATTTCTGGGGTGAAAGAAAAAGTCCAGGAAAGCTCCATAGCCCTTGGAGGTCTCCCCAAGAATCAGCACACAGATGTACTTAGTAAATGCTTACTGAATTGACAGAGATTGGACCCTGGTGACCAAAATCGAGTTTACCCTGGCTAACCTGGAACATAGTCTATCAAGAAAAAAGTCAAGACTTGGCTCCAAAGTCATCTTTTGTATCTGCTCCTGCTGCCTGCTGAGAACCAGCTTGACTGAGAGGGGAAGAGCCAGGCTTTCACAGTGGACATGCAGTGTTAGTGTGTGACTTGTCTATACGAGGATAAGGATGACTTACAGATGTTTTTGGTGGGCACTGTAGCGCCAGCACCTCATACAAATAGTACTCGGCATACAGTAGGTGTTGTGTAAGCATTTGTTAAATAAAAGAGAAAGGAGGTAAAGGCAAGAAGGCAAATTGGTTGATTCTTATGAGGCTTATGGGAAATAATGGTTTGAGAATTCCTGGCTTAATGGCTGTTACATAGATGTTCTGTCAGTAGTATATATCATGATGATGAAAAGGATATGAGGTGATGAAGAAGAATAATGGAATCAGCGACAGTCTTCTAAGGTGCATAGAATGAGCCCTCGATTCTTGTTGAAACATGAACTGCTCTTCCCATTCTCCTTCCCTTTGCCATCCAAGGTTACATAGTCTGTTCAGGTCATTAGATCCAATACCATACATTCGGCAGCGTATAAACCACAGGAATGTATTTCTCACTGTTGTAGAGGTTGAGAAGTTCAAGACCAGTGTGCTGGCAGATTCCATGTGTGGTGAGGCCTTGTTTCCTGGTTCATAGATGGTGCCCTCTCACTGTGTCCTCACATGGTAGAAAGGCACCAGGCAACTCTCTGAGGCTTCTTTTAGCACAGTCTCTGTCCACATGATCCAATCACCTCCCAAAGACCCTACCTCCTCTTGATGCCGTCACATTGGTGATTAGGAACTCTAAGGGACATAGACATTCAGACCACAGCAGTTGCTGTGTTTCACACATTAGGAGCCAACACATTTCTGGCTGCTGAGCCTTCGAGTCCGGTGCACAGTAGGTCATCCAGAGTGTTTCAGAACTTCAATGAACTACATGAATGGGACCATGATCAAGGGGTTATGGTAGTGGTCGCACCAAGGAAGAAGACCCAGGTTAATCGCTATAAGTAATTATATGTTAGTTATCTTACCTTGTTTTATTTCTGGTGTAGGTAATCATTAACCCTTTGTTTAACACATTGTCTTCAGGATAAAAGTCAGCATGTTGGGGAATCCATCTTCCTTGGTCATGTTATTAAGTTCCATAAATGTCATTAGTTACCTTGATTTGCATGATTAATGGGTTGCTTTAAACTTGAGAAAACATGGATATTACCTTTCTTTAGGCACCCCTTCCTATTTCTCTTTGTACATTAATACAAAAGATGAGCCTGCCAACTCAATAGATAGTTCAGGAGCCTAGGAGATTCTCAAGTTTTTCTGTGAAAAAGACAAATCCTATTTTTGGATTTTTGTAGCATGGCTATGGATGTGCTTTATTTTTCTATATAACTCTAATCCTACCCTTTTATTAAAATGAAAGTAAAGAGCCCACTTCGCCACCCTCCCTTAAAGAAACTGTTAGCTCTGGCAAGAGGCATACTTGCTGCACCACACTGGAAGCTTTCCTTTTCGTCTTCATTTCATTCCTACCTCTCCAGCTACTTAGTCCTAGCCATCTGATCGCTGCGTTGCACATTTGCTTGTTTCCTGAGCCTAATTTTCTGCCTTAAGCTCTTTTAGCTTTGCTTCTTTGCACTGAAGGAAGGCACAGAATATAACTGAGGAAAGGATGTACGTTTCTTGTTCTCTTGTCTTACCCACCAAAATGGAAACTCACTAACTCATAGCTCTGCCTTAACAAAACCACTGATTTACAGGAAGTGAGCCAGTTCTAAGAGATGGACTTTGCCCAGCTGTGCCTTGCAGTGCCGCCCACATATCAACGTTTAATTTTGCCAGCACGCACGATAAATATTGTAGCTAACATTTTATTTGCATCCAGGCCAAGGTACAATGTAGACAAGGTTCTATTCTACAGATATAGCCAGGGAAATCTGGAGGGTTGTCAGTGTTGTTGTTTTGAAGATCGTCCGTCTGTCATCATAACCCCAATGGCCCGCACAAGTGTAATAAAATGCTTCGCACAAGTTTGCAGAACTGTTGGACGCCATACAGTCTGCTGAGCTTTCTGCCGCTGGAGTGTCTTTGAAGAATGAAGCCCATTTCCTTATGCCTTGGGAGGTGTTCAGCTTACTTTCATGCCTGGAAATAACAGAAAATAAAAACAGATGCTTAGTTAGAACCAGTAGGATTTTTTGAGTCATGGCGATAAGCCAACTCTAAGTGTGTTTGCTGCTAATCTGTGAGATTGCCATGAGCATTTTGAAAGAGGCGATGCTGAAGAGGGCAGAAAGCATGGACTATAGGCTTGTTGGGTATCCGTGCTGTCTGTGGCCTCTGCCCCTAGCCCAGGCTGCTGGAGGTCAGCTGCATGGCCTTCCTTAGAATCTATGTTATGGACTTAGACCATACACACAAAACTAATTTAGACCTTTCTTCATGGGGTATGAATGGGTTCCCAAACACACATTGGCAGAATTACCTACTGAGCCTATGCAAAACACAGGTTTCTGGATTCTGTCCCCTCTCATTACAACTTGGAAGGTCTGGGTAAAAGCCCAAGAATTTTTGTATTCTGTTTGAGTTTTGATGTTTGTGTATTAATTTGAAAGGCATAGAGAAAGACAGAGATCTCCCATCTGCTGATTCATTCCCTAAATGCCCACAACAGCCAGGGTTGGGCCAAGTTGAACATGGGAGTTGGGAACTTGATCTGAGTCTGTCATATGGGTGATAGGGACTTACTCCAGGGTGTGCCTCATTACGAAGGTAGACTCCAGAGCAGAACCATAAGTCAAACCCAGGCATTGTGACTATGGGATGCGGGCACTGCACATGTTATCTGCACCAAGCCAATTGCCCACCCCAGGCATCTTTTTTTTAAAAAAAATCTTTCTTTCTCTCTGTATAGTGTGAGGTGCCCAGCCCCTGAATGTGAGGAAATGTTGAGCTGATACAGAGCAGAATTAGCTTTGCTTAGCCAAGGTTAAGAGCGAGCTGTAAAACAGTCTTTGCCCACAAAACAGTAAAGAAGGGAGAATGGTGGTTCATCTTCTTAGGCAAGAAAATTCCTTGGTGGTTACAGTGGCACTGTGGCTTAAATCCCAACACAGGAGAAGAGGGAAATGTGTTCCATGTTCTCACCTCACCTCTCGGCGGGAGCCTTTGCTCTACCAGTTACTGGCTTTAGTACAATTGGTGTGGTCAGGAGGTGAGCTAGCTGGGGTTATTGGCTTAGAGGACACTGAAATCACAGGATGGAAAATTAGATAGAAGGGGGTGAAAGATGAAGGCTTGGAGTTGATTGATAAAATTCGGGGACTAATGCCAGGAAGGGTAGTAGGAGCAGAATGGGTCTCCACTATTGTCCTGATCTCTAAAGAGATCTGGAGAAATGTTGAGACTCACAAATGGATTTCCCCTTTCATTGTCTTCACAATATTTCAGTGAATATTTACTTTGCTTTTCATAGATTATTTGCTATGGGTATTTGTGGCTTTGTGAGCAATGCTGCAGACACAGACCTGGGAAGCTGGGGTGGGAAGCCCCATCGCCCTGGCTGTTTCAACCATGTAGTTCAAGGATATATCCACTATGGGTCCATTCAAACCTACCTTGGGGAGGAAGCCATAGTCCCTTCATCCTCCATAGCGTTTTAGAGTCGAGAACTACATTTTTCCTACAAGTTGGCAATAGAGAGCAGAGAGCGAAGTACCCATTTGAAATTATATCTGGTCCCTTGTGGGATCTAGAACACAGAGCCAAATCAGTTCAGATTCGAACCTACATCCAGACCTCTCATCTGAAGTCAGGATCTGCTCCCCTGGGCCCATGACGGCTGTAATGAGAAATGGAGAGGGGCACTCATACCAGTCAGTTGCCCACCCTGGGGAAAGGGTTTCATTCCTGTATGACGATGGGATCATCCTTGACTTTACACAGCACCATCCACCTGCTGGAGATGCAGGTCACCCTGCAGTCATTCATCATTGCCCTTGTCCTTGAACAATTATTAACTTGGAGTCAGAGGCACCTGTGCAGGCCTGAAAATGGATGTGCCCTCTCTTTTCTTCCGCTTCGCCTGTCGAGGGCAGATTTATATCCTAGGAGATTTGCCTCAGTTTTATTTTTGGTCTTCTCAACACTGTGGCCCAGTGTTATGTCTCGCACCTGCCCCTCCCAGCGCCAGCCCTGCAGTTTGTGCTTCTCTGTGAACTTTCTGTCAGTCTGCTTACTGTGCTTCTGTGACTTGGCCTTCACACGGCCCTGGCATATGAAGCTCTGCCTCTCTTCTTACAGCTGTGCCTTTCGTAGTTACATTTCCCCAAGTGGCCTGAATGTCTGTGGGAAGCAGAGTCTACCTTCCATGCAGAGCTCAGAGAGTGAACATGTGCAGCACTCAGCAGATGAAAGATCTCTGTGTTTCTAGGCCTTTCAAATACAAAACAAATAGCTTTCATTTAAACCAGGTTCCTTTTCCAACTCATTGTTTTCCTTCCTTGAGGGCATAGAAAGCAGCTTGGGACCCCGTACAGAGAGGGGTTCAGGCAGCTGTTCCCGGATAAGGTGGGGACACACCCAGAGATGTCACTCATAGAGTAACCCTAGACCCTCTTGGAAGGGATCAATGAAACTCTAAGATGAGCTAACACTCCAGGAGAGATGATCCCAGGGCTTGCAGTTGTGAGTGATTTACGTCGGCCCAGTAGAGCTGTTCACCCCCCATCAGATGAAGCTGCATCCCCTTTGAGGCTGGATGGGGTGGCGAGGTGGGGTGGCGAGACCCCGCCCTGGAACACTCGTGCCATTTGGGGCATTCTCTTAGTGCCCACCTGAAGCCAACACAGCTTCTGTCTTCTGGGTGGGTTCTGTTTGCCAGGCACAGACACAGAAGAGGATACAAAGTCTCTCCCTCAAAGACCTTCCTCTCCTTGCAGAACTTGGGAAGAGCAGGTTTTATTTGTCTCTAAATCTTCAGCTGATATTACCCCCTCTCCACAACTCAGTGGAAATGAAAAAGGATTACATTCTATTTACTTGCGTCTTTCAAGAGAGAAACTAATTTTGAAATAGAAAGTTTCTACAGTGTGAATATTTCCCTTTCTTCAAGTCCTCCGAAAGGGTAAAGGAAAAGCTAAAAGGTGTGCATGTTTTGTCTTTCACTTTCTCTGACAGCTTCCTCTTACCACGCTTTTGAGGGTGACCTTCCAGTGTAGCCCGTCCCTCTCGGTTGTGCTCCTTGTTCTGAAAGAATGTAGGGCCGAGCATGGAGCAAGCTACTTCTGTTAATTAATGGCTCCAAGAGTTTGCTGAGTGTATTATTTAATTAATGACACTTGTGGCTGGAGTGTGTACAAATCTGTGGTTGAATAAAAGGCATATTTGCTGAGGGATTATAGACACATACTCAAGGATCGTTGCATTGAGAATGTGTCAAGGTTTAGCATACTTAACTAATAGGGGTACTATATATAGTTTCTAATCTGCCATTTAAAAGACACCAACATGGGTACTGCTCTGTTCATTTTGCCTTGCATGTGAGCTCAGATTACAATCCTGTATCATCCTTTGGCGAATGGATTAAAGTCTATTACTTTGAGCAAGCCCCTTTGCCAAAAACAAAAAGAAGAAAGGTTTAATACTCTATTTTTTGTATAAAATTTATGGTCAGACAAGTTATACTCTACTTCTGTGACTTGCAAATAGGTGGACCTGAATGATGCTCAAGCTCTATTCGAGACCAAAAGGTCAAGGGTTGAAAATGGCAAGAAAACCCAGTTGATGGCTACCATGAATAGAGTTCATTTCATAGCACCCTGCTCTTCCTGAGACTCCAGACCTTACAGGACACTGCAGGCTGTGATAGGACCGAGATGAACATAGACAGAAGGCTTCTAACATCTTGCAGAGAAGCGTCATCAGGGGACTCTCTGTGCACCTGTCTCTCTGTGTGCTTAGAAACAGATTGCAAATACAAAAGGTCTGATTGAAGCTGTATTGTTTCCAGGCTCTGTCTCTGTGAATCTGGGCAAGATATATGCCCTCTCTGAGCAGTAGTTTATTTCTTTGTAAAAAATCAATTGAATTATACGTGCTTTAAACTCCTTCCCAGCCCCTCCATGCTCGGTCTCTGATTTTTCCCAGTAGGGTCATCAAAGCTGACCTGTCCGATGATAGGAGAGATAGTGGGTCACTCAATTCTGGGGCTTCAGGGTTATTTTTTTTCCCTTTAAGCGACTCCTGGGGATATGAAGAACCACTGTGTCCTGTATGAGGACTGGAAAGCCAAGCCCCTTTCTGAAGCCCAACCACACGGTCCAGGAGGCAAGGACTACAGTCAGGGGCCTGCCTTCTTCCTCAACACTGGCGACCGCATGCTCATGGAAGATAATGGGAAGGGGACAGAAGGAAATAGGAAGGCTACTTTAGATGAGGGACTCGGAGAAGTGACACCACTTCAGTCATCTGGATCCTGCATGGAAGATGGAAGGGAAAACATTCCAGGCAGAAGGAGACAAGAAGTGCAAGGGCCCTGAGATGGACTAGTGTTTGATGGGATCCAGTAACAGCAAGGAGGCTGGAACAGGAGGTGGTGGTGGAGGTGGAGGGCACTGTCATGGGAGATGAAATTGTTCTCAAGCCTTTATGGTGGCATGTGAGGGCTTCTGCCATAAGTACCTGGTTGGCACTGCCAAGTATGGAGGAAGGGACATAAGCAGGCTTCCCATTTAAAAGGATCATAATTGTAACACATTTTCTGTTTAATGTGCTCATTTTATTGTGTGACCTTGAGTGAGTTTGAGGGTAGAGATATGTATTTTAAGAATCATAGGCAACAGCTGATGTATGACATTCTATATAAAGAAGTTATATTTTTAACGGCAGTATCATGAAATAATAGCCAGAACAAGGGAAGTTCTTAAGTTTTACTAAAAATACTGATCATCTAAATTTGTGCACTACTTTTAATTTCCATTGAGCCCCATCCTTTCACACAATTAAAGGAACTGTAACTTACCATCCATGAGAGTTTCTGCCTCAAAAGTAAAAACACCCTGACAGGTAACATATCCTTGAGACAAATAAAGCAAAACTGTGACAGAGGAATCAAAGATAAATTCTTATTCAGTACATGGAGCATA